GGCTGCCTGATCGCGCTGTGCCTGCTGCCTGCTTCATTCCCGCCTGGGAATGCGACAAATGGGCCCTTGGGTAGAGCATCCACAGGGGCGTGTCTCGGCGTTGCCATGGCTGCGGCGTGGTGCTAATCAGCCACCCACCTCATCTCCACTCTCTCCCCTGAGCTCTGAAACCAGGGCTATTGAAAGACTGCGCCCTTTTCTGAGTCTAGGGAAACGCAGCGTGGTTAGCTTTTGCTGAAGAAATGGGGAAATAGAAAACGCCAGGCCCCCAAATGCTTAGGCATGGAAGGGTTAATTGTGGGTCGTCTTCTGATCCAGATTTAACAAATGGCTGTCTGGCCACGATTCGATTGTCTAGCACCGTGGAGGGGAGCTGTTTCCTCTCCCTGCCCAGTCAGGGAGCACCCACTACCCCCCACCCCACTGCAGCCTTCCCTTGTCAGCCATTAGGGTCTGTGGCCAGGCCATGTCCCTTCCTCTGACCCCCTCATGGTGGCAGAGGGCACGAGGGGACCTGAGGTTCAACTTCAGCACTGGTGGGCTCTGTGACCTAAGCAGTCTTTGCCCTCTCTGCCCACCAGCACCCTCCTCTGTACCCGATGTTGGTCTGCTTTCTCCAATGTCTCCCGAGACGTGTTGGGGTGTGCCAGGAGGGGTGCTCCAAGGACCCCAGCTTCCTCATTAAACCTAAGCCCCTGACCGCATGGCTCACTGCCCCTCAGCCTTGGGCCCACACAGCCCACTGGTGTAAATACCTTTCAGCAGGGCACAGGAGATTTTTAATGACTCCTTGTGGCTGAGGTGAGATAAGGAGACTTTCCCCCCACCCCCCACCTCCACCTCAACCCTGTGGAAATAAGCCCTCAGCAGCCACCCACCACTCTAGGCCTGAAAGCTTCTTAACACCGCCAGTCAGATCACCAAGTGAACTGGCAGCAGCCATCCTCCCTCCCCCACCGAGGGGACTCCTGCCCCCCTTCCCCCCCACCCCACCCCCGCCCCTTTTCACTCAGCACAGAGGAGCTGGGTCCAAGTTTTCAAAAGGAGCTTTATGAGACATTAAAGGAAAATAAAAGGAAATATGAAAGCACAGAGGCAGAAGAGATGAAAGGGTCACTTTATACTTCTGTCATGTGTGTGTCTGGTCCTTGGCTTCTTAGGACCTCTAGTTCTCCCCAGAATCACATGAATTTCCCCTTTTGTTCCCCCCACCTGAGGGCAGACACCACCACCCCCACCTGATTGATGATCAAACCCATTACTCAGCTACTCACTTGAGAGAGCGGCAGGAACTGAAATATCACTTAGCTTGGCAGGATGCTCTATCCCCTGTTAGGTGGGGCCTGAGCAGGGCTGTGTGCCAGCCCTGCAGTGGCTCCAGCCTGGTCTAGGGGCTGCACTGTCCGCATACTAGGTTGATTGGCATTGCTCTTGTAGGCCTCTGTTGACATCTACTTTGGCTAGAGTACCCAGGAGCCTTGGTCTCCTTTGGTTTCGCCCTGCCCCTTTCTCTGACAGGACATTAAGGCTGGTCCTTGCTTTGTCTGCCTTGCTCACTGACCTCTCCATAGCCAAGCACCTGAGCCTGGCCTTTAAGGGCAGCCTCTGCAGACAGGGACCTTGGTCTCTGGAGGCTGCCTTTGCCAGACCCAGCCACACAGGGCCACACTCAGAAGAGCCCTGGACTTGACTTAGGGCTCAGCTGTGGCTGCCTTGAAGTTCACAACCATCCCCTAACAAGGCCTTACATTTTCATTTTGCATTGGGGCCCAATTGATAGCTGACTCTGTCCTGAACCTCCATCAGGATCCCTCCGGGTCTAAACCTGGATCCAGAAAGCTCAGCCACTTTTTGCTCCCAGTGTCTTGACCAGCTGGTCTGAGGCTCATTTTCAGAGAGGCCTGGTGGCACTCCCCCATAAGTGTTGGGACTGCTAACCACCGGGTTGGTCGTTCAAACCCACCGGCTGCACTGTGAGAGATGGCTGAGGCTGTCTGCACCTGTAGAGACTTGTAGCCTCGAAAAACCCTATCCTGGGCACTGTGAGTCAGAATCAACTTGATGGCAGATGGGTTTTGTTTGTTTGTTTGCAGAAGCCAGGGGCAGTTTGACTCCTTAGAGGACCAGGAAACTGCTGGGCCTGCGGTGGGGCTTGCTCCTGTCCTGTCTCAGTGGTGCAGTAGCTTCTCCTCTGGAAGGTGTGCCCAGGTGGTCCTCTAAGTGAGGCTCTCTTATCCCTCAAGGACTCTTGGGAGTGACCATCTCACAAATCAGGCACACCCTGAGCCAGTCACTTGTCTCATACAGGTCTTGTTCTGCCCCAGGGTGGGGAACAGCGGTGGGACCGTGGCTGCGGAGTGTGTGTGGGTAACCCGATGCACAGGGAGATCTTGCTTGGCTGTATAATGACTGGTGTTCTTACACGTGTTCCTTAATCTCTTTGAGCTCCCCGCCTTTTTCAAAGGCCATAATCAGTTGAACGAATTAGCAAAGCTGGTTAATAAGTTAGGATGGCTGCCTTAATAAATACCAGTGACCCAACTGCCACTGAATCACTTCTGACTCCTAGCGCTGGCTGCAGTGAGTCAGCTCTGCTGTGCTCCATCGGACTTGACGTGGCTGATTTGGGAGGCGATGGCCAGGCCCCTCTTCCAGCCAGCAGCTCTCTGGTTAAGTGCTAACCTTTTGATTAGCCATGGAGCATGTTCATTGTGGGCATCACTTAGCGACCGTGCTACAGCAGATAAGCCCCCAAACTCTGCAGTGGGGCAAAGGCAGGTAGTGCTTTCCTTCTTTTGGAACTGTGTTGGGCAGGGGATGGGCATGGCCCTCCTCCTCACCATCACTCAGGGGTTCCGGTGGATGGAGCCGCTGCCACCTTCAGTAGACCTCCCAGTGTCACCTCAGGGGTCATGACCTCTCCAACCTACCAGAAGGGGAAAGAGCATGGAGGCACTTACAGGGGACTTCCTGAGGGGCCAGGTCTGGAAGCAGCACATATTTCATTGGCTAGTTGCGTGGCCACTTCTAAGTGCCAAGGAGGCTGGGAAATGTAGTCTAGTCTCTGTGCCACGAGTTGTTCACGTATAAAAAAGATAGTAACAGTTCCCCCTGGAAGGACTTGATGTACGCCCAAATAATGACATGGTGCCTCACAATGACTTAAGTAGCTTACAGTGATGAAAGTCCAAAACTGAACCCCAACCTCCAGGACCCCAGGGACCAGGAGAAGTAGGAAGGACTTGGTTATCATTGGTGACAACTCTGAAAGGGATCCAGACAGACGTTTCTGGATTGAGGGGGAGAGAAATGTGAAACTAAACCCCAAGTCATCACAAAAGACCTGGTCTGGGAGAGAACCATGGAACCCCCCAAGACCAGGCCCTTAGCCACCCTCCAAGCCTGGAGCTGAACTCAGCCTGGAGGCTAATTTCAGCCAAGCCAGAGGCAGCCTATAAGGTGAGCACTTGCACCAGGGTGGCCAGCGGCCCTCGGAACCACCAGCCACAGGAGGCCCAGAGCAGCACTTCTGAGTGCAGCTCAGAAGGCAGGAGGGGATCGGACGGAACGGGGAGGAAGTGGCAGGAAGGCCATTACATGGTGAGGACCGTCACCAAGGTCCCGAATCAAAGTCTATAATTGTGAATGGGAAACCAACGTGCTCTATAAACGTTCGCCCAAACCACACGTGATATCCGGCCATGGTCCCCCGAACCTCACTGCCATCCATCGAGCCTATTCTGACTCACAGCGACCTTGTAGGACAGAGAAGAACCACATTTTAGGGTTTCCTAGACTAGAAATGTTGACTGGAGGAGACATCCCCATCTTTCTCCTGTAAAGCTGTGGTGGGTTCAAACCACTCACCTTGTGGGTAGCAGCACAAGGCATATGCCACTGTGTCGGGTCCATTCCCACTCCTGTGTGAGACTGTAACTCTTGATGGCAACGTAGCCTCATCTTTCTCCTGCAGAGCAGCTGATAGTTTCGAACCGTCAAACCTTGCAGTTTTAGCATCCAATACTTACTTACCCGGAAGCTCCTTTATCAGGCATATCTCACTAGCTCACTCACTCACTGACTCACTTAGGACGGGGCAGATCTGTGCCTGTGGGTTTTGGAGACTAACACTTTACAGGAATAGAAAGTCTCCTCTTTCTCCTGTGAAGACGCTGGTGGTTTCAAATGCCGACTTTGCAACAACATCCTTTTAACTGCTGTCCTGAGCCAAAGGAGTATATCCTTGGCTCCAACCTGCTCTCTTTGTCCTTGCTAGCTGGGTGACCATGCGTAAGGCATGATGATAAGATTTGCTGATGACATGGAAGTGTGAAGGCAGGGGAAATCTGTTGGGTGGCCAAATCGATTCCAGAGTGGTCCCCACCTGCATTGTCAGGCGGCACTCTTAACAGATGGCACTGGGCAGGGCTGGATGTCAAGTCCTGAGAGTGGGTCAGGGACGTCAGTGGCTCAAGCGCAGGACAGAGAGGGCCCACCTTCCTGTACTCATGCCTGCCTCTGCTATTGATGGGGACTCAGAGGTGAACCTGGAAGGCATGGTCCCTGCTGCTTGGGGAGCTGGGGAGGGAGGGAGGAAGAATGGGAGAGAGGGTGGGAGGGAGTGAGGAAGGAAGGAAGGATGGGGAAAGAGAGTTTGAGGTCCAGACTTTGGTCACAGAGTTCGGACCTTGGCCTGCTCGCAACAAACTGTGCCTTGCGCCAGGGGTGGGGATGCAGCTGCCCGGGTCTCCTGCCTGCACCATGTTCCCATCTTCGCCCGCTCTTTTCATCCTCACAGTGGCCCCACGAGGGCCCCCTCCTGCTCGCCCATTGTTGAGATGAGGGAGTTGAGGCCTGGGGAAATTTGATGCTTCCCAGAAATCTCTCATCTGGGAATGGCAGAGCTGGGGTCAGGATTGCCATCTGGCTGAGTCCAAAGCCAAATTCCCAGCCGCTCCCCTGATGCCCTTGTGGGCTGCACGGGGGACTCTGGATTTTAAACGGAGAATAAAGGGATCCATCAAGGGGGAGGTGGCTTGATCTGATTTGTACATTAGAAAGGTGCGGGGTCCCAAGCCAGCTGAAAACCAGAGGCCATGTAGGCCCTTGGGGGAAAGGCAGAGTGGGTGGGTCACTTGGAGCAAAGCAGGTGGACATGGAAAGTGACCTGTCCAGAAAAGAGACCCCATGAGGGCACCTGCAGCTCCCATAGCAGACAGAGCCTCAGGGCTTTCTGGTTTCAAGGAGGTGATTTGGGCTGAGCTTCTAGTGGGGTACCCGGAGCCCCTCTGAAAGCCTCTTAATCTCTGGCAGCTGGCATTTCTGATTTCGTGTGTGTGTGTGTGTGTGTGTGTGTGTCTTCTCCCCTAGTAGAAGTCTGAGAAGTCTAGCAAGGGTGACAGTAGACCTGCTCCACTGAGGTGAGAAAAAGAAAAGAAAACACACTGTAAAGCTATACTCATTAAAGCTGTGTGGTGCAGTCAGTGAGACAGAATGGAATGTCCAGGAGCAGTGTCGAGTCGCCTAACAAGAATGCAGCATGTCACGAAGGGGTGTGCCCCTTCTTTGGTGGATGTCTTCATCTTGACCTGACCGATGGCCTGATTTCTTTCTAGCTGTCCAGTGTCAGGGGGCTGGGCTGGGGCCAGAGGGGCTGAGAGGGTCTCTCTGTGGCTACAGTGACCTGGAGAAGTCAGTGGAGAAGATCCAGAGGGAGGTGTCCCACAGTCATCGACTGGTGCCTGGGCCTGAACTGGAGGAGAAGGCGCTGGTGCTGAAACAGCTTGGAGAGACGCTGACTGAGCTCAAGGGTGAGCCCCTGGGTGGATGGGTGTGGCTTGTGGCCAGGAAGGAGGTCCCTGCTGCGCTCCCAGCCCCCACCTCCCCTGCTGACCATCCTCCTAGCCCTCAGTGCTCCTTCCTTCCCGCCCTTCCCTCAGCTCACTTCCCAGGCCTGCAGAGCAAGATGCGGGTAGTGCTGCGTGTTGAGGTGGAGGCAGTGAAGTTCCTGAAGGAGGAGCCACAACGCCTGGACGGGCTACTCAAACGCTGCCGTGGGGTCACCGACACGCTGGCCCAGATCCGCAGGTCATTCCACCCCTCACCTCTCAACTCTCACCTCTGGTTTCCATGGGCCTCAGACTGGGCCCAGAGCAGCAAATCGACCTGGCCTCTTATGCTGACTTCCCCAGGGGCCCTTCAGCCCTGACCCATTACCCCTCCGCACATTGAAGGCACCACTTTCACCGTTGTTGAATGCAGCCAGGCCGTCCACGGCCCTTCCATCTCTCCTGTGAGACCCCAGAGCTCTCCTCACCCCACCTCCCTTAGCCAGGCTTCTCCCTGACCGGGGCCACCTCCACTGACCTCACCCTTCCAACTCTCCCAACCTGCAGGCAAGTGGACGAGGGTGTGTGGCCACCCCCCAACAGCCTCCTGAATCAGTCCCCCAAGAAGATGGCGGCTGAGACGGACTTCAACAAGAGTTTAGACTTTGAAATGCCACCTCCCAGCCCCCCACTGAATCTGCACGAGCTGAGTGGGCCGGCTGAAGGTGTCCCCTTGACCCCCAAGGGTGGCAATCCTACCAAAGGCCTGGACATCGCTGGCAAGAGAAGCATGGACAAGGCTGTGTCTGTGGAGGTGCTCAGACCTGGGCCTGGGGATGGGCTAGGGGAATGAGCTAGACCCATGCCTCTGACCACCACCCCAGGGTAGGAAGAATTGGTTACTGCAGTACTACTGGCTTTTTTCCCTGAGGAGGGAATCTCGAGTGTGATATTAGTCCTGCTGTAACAAACAAAGGACATCTTCTAAAGCGATGGTACTTAAAACAGTGTGGTGTTAGCATAAGAATAAACTAGTCAATGAGGTAGGTCCAAGTTTCTTGAGAGCGCAGTATACAATGGAGGTGGCACTACAGGCCCGTGGAGGAGGCGTGCAGTACAGCGGGGACCCAAATGGAATGAGAAGCTCCCTTTTCCGTGCCTTGCATGTGCGCCTGGGCAAGGGGCCAAGGTCTGGAGTGGGCGGGACATCTCAGTCTGACCCCTGCCCGTCTCCTCCAGGCTGCTGAGCGTGACTGGGAGGAGAAGCGAGCCGCCCTGACCCAGTACAGCGCCAAGGACATCAACCGGCTGCTGGAGGAGACGCAGGCCGAGCTTCTGAAGGCCATCCCTGATCTGGACTGTGCAAGCAAGGCCCACGCAGGCCCGCTTCCCACCCCTGACCACACAAGCCCCCCAAAGCTCCCCATGGCCAGAAGGCAGCCCCGAGAACGGAACCCAGCGGCAGGAGGGGCTCAGGTACGGGGCTGGCAGGGCGGGCGGAGAGCCCAGAGAAGGTGACCCCTGCCCTCGGAAGCTTAGGCTTGGTGGGGGAGGCACTTGGGAGGGAGAATGATGGAGGTCAACCTGTCAGGGAGTGTGGAGCTGGGTGGCCAGCAGCTGCATCATCAGCCCACTGAGGGGAGACTGAGGCAGGGAGGGGTGTGGGGCTGGAGGAGAGCTAGCCTCCTGACTGTATCCGGGCCTGGCCACAGGCAGGGCACCCTGCTCAGTTAACACCAGCCAGCCCAGCCTGAGAGCCCTGCAGGTACCCCGGTTTGGTTGGAGTGTGCACGGTGACCTAGGCCAGTGCCAACTGACCACGGACACCCAAGTCAGACCTTCTGCGTGGGGCTGTGGTGGAAGAAATAATCTGCAAAGTGCTTGCTTTAAGGAGCTTGAAGTCTAGTGGGCACATTACAGGACATGTGTGTTGGCTCGGCACTTACGAGTGGACAGAGGAGCCCCAGTGGCGTAGTTGTTATGCAATGGGCTGCCAACCAGGTCAGCAGTTCGAAACTACCAGCCACTGCTTAGGAGAAAGACGAGGCTTCCTACTCTCTTAAAGATGTACTGTCTCAGAAACCCACAGGGGCATCTCTGCTCTGTCCTCCAGGGTCGCCGTGAGTTTGCGGTTGTTGTTTGTTTGTTTTTGGTTACTCTGTGACAAAAGGAGCCCTGGCGGTTCAGTGGTTAGAGCACTTGTCTGCCAACCCAAAGATCTGTGGATCGATCCCCACAGCCGCCCTGCAGGGGGAAGATGAGGCAGTCTGCTCTGGTAAAGAGCAGTCTGCAGCCCCCATGGGCAGTTCCCCGCTCTTCTATAAGGTCCTCCTGAGTCGGAATCCACGCCACAGGACTCTGTGAGCAGAAGGCTGTCCCCAGCTAGTTCTGTGCATCCTCCTCTGTAAAGTCAGTCAGAACCCCCCACCCCCACCAGGAGGCAGATGTAGCTGCTGTCCCCACTGGGTAGGCAAGGACACGGAGGCTCTGCGAGGTGACGTTGTCTGTCGCAGGCCATAGCCAGTGAGAAAAATCAGACCATGCCGAACAGACCTCACCGCCCTGGCATACTATAAAGGCGGAGGGCCAGCCCCCCACCACTACCCACAGGTTCAGTAAGCACATTTGTACGGTTGAGATATATGAATATTGTATTAAAGTCATCGAGAGCATGAGCGATAGAAGAGAGTCAAACAATGGAGTCAGACACATGACATGGTAGCATTGCTCACCTCAGCCCCGCTTGGTGGTCCACGTGGAGAGCGGGAAGAGAGGAGAGGGCGGGAGTGACCAGTGAGAGAGAGCTCTATTGCTTGCCCAGGCCTATATACCTTTGGGCGTGCAAGCCCACTAATTACAGGTAGTCATACATCACAGGAAGGGGTTGCACTATAGGTTATACAGCAGTGAGAGGGGGTGGTCTAAGGACATAGACGCAATAGGAAGGGGAGGGATTGGGGGTATACATGCAGCAAGATGGGTGGATCCTAGATTTAGGATGGCAGCTTAACTGACCTGTTCTCTGGGTCTCCATAGGAACCATTATCAGTAGGGTATAGACCCCACCTACAGGAACCAAATAGATGACTGCAGGCCTGTCCATTGTCCTTAACAGCAGGGAGCAGGCACACCCCTGTGGTGGGGCCAGACAGCAGTCTGACATCCCCCCACAAGTCCCCCTTTTGTTTTATATATAAAATTCAAAAGCCACATGGGCGACATGGTTATTTTCTATACATTAAAAGCTGTCAAGAAAAAACTTCATGATCCAATTAATATAGCCAAAAATTCAGGCACTGGGGCTAAAGTCCCCTTATGCCCATCTGCTATTGGAGGAAGGTATACGAGAGATTGGATATCGTGGCGGGAAGAAATAGAGCCAAATAGGAATGTCTGCTTCTTTAGTTAAAGCTTCCGGCCACACAGCCACCAGCTATGTGCTTGTAGGAGACAAACTCAGATCAGCACCATAGAGGAGGGTAACGTGAGGAACAATATCATGAGAATGTGATTAGGACTTAAAACTCACAAGGGTGGAGGTTCCCCTCCACCACTAGAAACCTAGCCTTCCAGGCTCCTTGGCAAGAGAATGAAGGATTTGTCCTTACACACTCTCTTCCCTTCTCTGCTCCTCACAGTGTTTGCCTTATGTGCAACTTCAAAAGTGCCATGGAGGCCGTATGCTTCTTCTTCACATGCCTCAGCTTTCTACAGATGCAACACGTGATAGCCAGGACAAAAATTGTAACCCAGGCTATGAGCAATACATTGAACTCAAGCACGGGGACCCAATCCTTCCATGCCAGTCACCAGTTGCTTAATTATATGAGAGCCAGGCGATGCCTCAAGCCTATCTTTGAATGTATAGAAAATATCCTTCTTAAGCTGATCAACATCTAATGAAACATTTCCCTTAAACTCTGGCAAATGTTTCTTAATCAAATCCCAATCATGCAATGTTAAGGTATATAGGTAAGGAGTTATACAGAAATCAGTTGCATTCCAATCACATTATAGCATTAACCGACAAGTCCAAAATCTTGATCTTTCAGCAAAACAACAGCCTGTAGTAATAGTCTAGTCACTGTTGTGTAAAATGTTCAGCTTTGATAAGAGTCCCAGAGTTTCTCTTAGACAGCATCAGCAATGGAAGAAATATCTCAGCAGTCAGCAATCGCCATTCTCAGGAATCTGCGAGGTCTTCTTGCCATTTTGAATAACTTCAGTAACAGGAGAGGGGGGTCAGGTCACACATCAGCTTCCCGGCTTTCTTCTGGGCCTTGCTGGCTGAAGAGAAATCCACCTATTTCCTTTGCCTGTGAAAATATAAACAAATGGCCCCTCTCTTCGGGGTGTCATTAACCTGCAAGAGGAATTATGATTAAGATTGGGTGGCTTCTCCATCTCTTCCTTGTCCATCTTTCTCCAAACGTGGTTGCGTCCTTCTAAAGGGAGTCCATCAGCTTTATTCTGCAGAAATATAAATGCATAGCCCTTTCTCCAGGTGAATGGACCCGGATCCCAAATGCGATTTCCATCTTCTTGGGACTTCTTAGAATTAGCTATGTCTGTAGAAGTGAAAATATGTTTATCTGCCCTAATTTTGTTACAAGCTTTTAGTCAGGAGGAAATTTTTTTGGTTAAAATGACTAATTGAACCTTGTCACACATAAAATTCCTCTTCTCCCCCTTCTGTTTTAACCATGCAGCCTTTAAAGCATTGCTGGCAATCTCAGTTACCTTGCTTGGTCTTGAACCAGCAAAACTACTCATTAGATAGCCTTTGTTGTTATGTAAATACTGGCTCCTGGCCCTCAGAGAATTGAGAGAGCTGACTAATTGGGAGAACTTCATACCATACTTTGAAAGACTGAAAAAATTCTTAATAAATTTGTTCAGCTGTTCTTGAAGTAACTCATCAAACAGACATTTTTTCTCCAAGTTTACCAGTAGGTTTACAGGCTCTTTACACTGTATGATTTTACAATCTTGTAATAGTCTTTCTTGGTTAACTTCACTCATTCCCTCCATGCTGGCTTTAGGGGAAGTTAATGGGAGGGTCTTAGGCCCCCCTGAATGCCCTAAGGTAATGACCCCACATCCAGAGTTTAAGAAGCTTTTCCCTTCAATTCCTAATTCCATGTGGGGGCGCTGTTGTTTCCCCACAACAGAAGACCCCTTGATTTAATATAGAGTTGTCAGACTTCTCAAGTACTCTTTCCTGATAGACATACATCTTTACTTTACGAATGCAAGGAAGCAAAAATTGCCTTAAGTGATCCTCCTCCTTTATAAACCATGGTATATCAGAATTCATCACTACTTTAATCTCTTCATAATCCTGATCAATAATTCCAGCAGCACCTTGAGAATTTAGATTAGACTTTTTGAATAAACATCCCATAGTTCTTTTAGGTAGCGGACCCCAATTACCGCTTTCAATAATTTCTGATTTAATCACAGCTTTTGGCTTTTCCTCACAATTCTGATCAACTCCAGTATCAATTTGAATTCCTCGAGTATTTAGGTTAAATCTTCCTGGTACAAATTGTATTACTCTTTCAATAAGAGGCTCCTGCTTTTTAGAATCATCAGGCTGCTGCAAGCCTTCTGAGCCATTTCTTGGTTAGCCAAACCAACTGCAGGGAGAACAGAGGCTGGGATTTTGCAAGTTTGGTTAGGTCTGGTCCCCTGCTGTGAAGCTGGGTGATACCTGCGGTTTCTCTAAGGTCTCTGCTCTGGCAAGCAGACACCTTGCCTCCCATGCTCTGCTGGGCGGGCTCTGTATCAAGCTCCTTCCACTATTTTCCCGCCGGGAAGTCTTTGCTAATGGCAGTCCTTTATTGTCAAATCTAGAACGACATTGACTTGCCCAATGAGTTCCCTTCCTACAGCGGGGACAGAGTTCAGGTTCTTTTAAACCCGAACTCGATGGCTTCAGCCTGCTCTCCCTACACTGTCTCTGAAGATGACCTGTCTTCACGCAACTAAAGCACTTTTTTCTAGGTCTGATAAAATTTGCCAATGCAGCTGCCGTGAGGTCGACCTTGTATTCCTCTGTCTCTACATTCCTGCATATCCTGAGATAATCTAGCAGGGTGCCCTGTTCCCTGTAGGGACACAAGGCATTTTTACAGTGTTTATTGGAGAAATCATAAGATAGCTTATGCACTAAGTCTCTTACTGCCTGGACATTTTTTACACACTTGGAAATAGCATCTTCCAGTCGGGACACAAAGTCAGCATAGGATTCATCATTCCGCTGTCTTATAGCCCTGTAACTTGGCTCTCTCTCTTCTGATGGAATTATCTTTTCCGAGGCACTTAAGCAAACTTCACGTATCTGTCCTATTGTCTGTTCAGTAAACTGCAGTTGAGACTCAACTGTGATATAATTCTCATCCCCTAGCAATTGATGAATTCCTATATCTATCCCATCCTCAGCATTCTTGCGTGCTCGTAAAAGGACTGCTTCCTTCCACAGCATTTGATATTCCAGGGATTCTGAAGAGTAAAGACAAATCCTCACTAAAGCTCTCTAGTCTGTAGGGGTCCAGCTCTCAGACCCTGCTAGAGCCCTTATCATGCTAATTACAAAGTGAGAGTCTGGGCCATAATCATTGACTGCCTGCTTAAGATCTTTCAGCAACTTAAAGGGAAAGGCACTGTGAATGCCTTGTGGGTGTTTCCCTTAAGGCTGTCTGCTAACAACTCTAACAGGATAAGACATTCTAAGTTCTAAATCTCCTTCTTCTGCAATCCCTCTTTGTACTCTTGAAAGTAAAGGTACTTTTACTATGTCCCCTTCTGACTCAGGCTTAGTTTTTTTCAGCTCTGCCTAAAATGTTATCTGCCTGAAATCCATTCTGACTGCTTCTCACCTGATTTAAGTTTGCGTATCTTAGCTGTTCCTCATTACTCTGCTGGTTCTGTTTCTCTGCTTTCTTTACCTTTGAAAGCAAGGGAGCTTCCTGGGGTTGCTTAATAGTCTTGCTTTGGGTCTTGGAATCCGCTTCCTCTAGTACTTTATCACCTTTAAACATTCAGAGGCTGCAGTCCCCCAAGGGCATATAGGCTTTGACCCTGAGTTTCCTTTTAGAATCAGAGGCCTTGCATAACAAATCAATCCCTGCTTCTTCAGTTTTTCCTAAAGTTTCACCACCTAATTCATGCTCATTCACAGACACTTTAGCTTGCTTTTCTAAATTTGAATAGCTCACACAAGACTTCTCACTAGACTGATAATCCTCACTCACTTCCTCCTGCAAAAGTACTAAAACTTGAACTCCCAGAGACCACATCTCCACGGGGATACTCTCCCCATCTCTGTGTGCCTTTTGTAAGTTTACAATGACCTCCTCCCAGGTCTCTAGATCAAAAATTCCTTCCTCCGGGAAGCATGGATTATACCTTTTTACTACTTTTAGAAAACATTGCATCTTTTTCTTCGTTACTTTTACACTCTGTCTTTTCAGTAAGAAAATGAGCATAGTACCATAAGTTTCAGGTTTACTTTTACCTTGCCTCATTGTTCTCTTTAAAATACTCATTCACTATTTCCACTACTTATCTGCCAATCCTCACACTGGATCCTCACTTCACACAATTTTCCAATTCACTCTACATTCCGGTAGGGGCCGTACAATTGTTACGTTGGAAATAACTCAAATTGCCACGCGATGGGCGCCATTTGTAGTATAAGTTGTGGGGGGATGGCCCCCCACCATTAGTCATGGGTTCAATAAGCACAATTGTATGGTTGAGATATATAAATATTATATTAAAGTCATCAAGAGCATGAGCGATAGAAGAGAGTCAAACAATGGAGTCAGACACATTGCATGGTAGCATTGCTCACCTCAGCCCTGCTTGGTGGTCCACATGGAGAGAGGGGGAAGGGAAAGGGGACAAGGGAGAGAGGACGGGAGAGAGGGGGAAGAGACGACAGGGCGGGAGCAACCAGTGAGAGCCCAGTGAGAGCCCACCGAGAGAGAGATCTCTATTGCTAGCTCAGGCCTATATACCTCTATTGCTAGCTCAGGCCTATATGTAAGCCCACTAATTACAGGTAAATACATACATCACATGAAGGGGTTGCACTATAGGTTATACAGCAATGAGAGGGGGTGGTCTTGGGACATACATGCAATAGGAAGAGGAGAGATTGGGGGTATACATGTGACAAGATGGGTGGATCCTAGATTTAGGATGGCAGCTTAACTTTGACCTGTTCTCTGGGTCTCCATAGGAACCATTATCAGTAGGGTATAGACCCCACCTACAGGAACTATGCTTTTGGTTGTATGTTTTAGGGAGAAGTAATCCATTGTCCTTAACAGCAGGGAGCAGGCCCACCCCTGTGGTGGGGCCAGACAGCAGTCTGACCTCCCCCCACACCCTGGGAGAGCAGGGGCCGCGTCACGCCAAGGGCCTTGAAAGTTACGGGGCTCTTCCCTGGCTGGCGAGGAGGGTGCTCCAGGAAGAGGCAGAGGGCTGGAACAGACGTCGGAGTTGTCAGGGTGGGTCCCGAGCTGAGAGGAGCAAAGGGGGCTGCAGGGCTGGCAGGTACTGGGTGCTGGGCCCAGGTGCTTGGGTGAGGCTTGGGGTACCCCATAGGTAGCCCCAGGAGGATCTAGGGCAGCAGATGATCCTGGCAGAATAATCTTTTAGCCAACGGCTCCAGACACAGGGCCTCAGCTCTCACAGGTGTAACTGAGAAAGGTTGGTGACCCAGGAGGGGCGAGGGTGAGGACCGGACCTGGCACAGTGCAGCCCCGACCCCAGGGCCACCTGGTGCTGCTCATCTGAGGCCCACGCGTTGAGTGGGATGGCTTAGCTGTCTGAGGAAGGGTGGCTGGGCTGGGTGCGGGCCTAAGTGGGGAGGCTGTGGGGGAGGAGGAGGCAGGTGTGCCCCAGGGCCGGCTCTGGAGCCCTCTGACCCCCAGCCCCCGTGGCTGCCTACAGACGAGCTGACTGTGCCGCGCTACCGCACCGAGAAGCCCTCCAAATCGCCGCCGCCGCCCCCTCCCCGCCGGAGCTTCCCCTCCTCCCACGGGCTAACCACCACGCGCACTGGCGAGGTCGTGGTCACCAGCAAGAAAGACTCAACCTTCATCAAGGTACCGCCCTCTGGGACGCCCGGGGGACAAGGACAAGTGGGTGGCGGTGATTGCACGTTTGGCCTGGGGTCCCTTGGGGATGTTTTTGCTCCGACCCCTGTGCTGGGACGGAGGACGTGGCTGCTGAGGATCGCAGGACTGCTGGGAGGTAGTGCTGACAGGGCAGAGCCCACTCCTGACTGCCAGCGGCCTTGCAGAAAGCCGAGTCGGAGGAGCTGGAGGTGCAGAAGCCCCAGGTGAAGCTGCGCCGGACTGTGTCCGAGGTGGCCCGCCCGGCCTCCACGCCGCCCATCATGGCCTCGGCTATTAAGGATGAGGACGACGAAGACCGCATTATCGCAGAGCTGGAGGTAGGTCAGGGCCACGGCCTGCAGGCTGACCAGAGCCAGCAGGCAAGACTAGGACAAGTGGACGGACTCTCTGGTCCCCGGCCACTCAGTGTTCCATCCTTGTAGCGCAACTTTGTCTCCGTGGGGCAACGTGGAAGGGGGCCTGCAGTCGCTGGAAATCTCAGTTTGTTGGTTGGAGTCTCTAAGACCTGAGAGCACAGTGAACTGAGACCCCACACCCCAGTGTCCCAAGGACAGAGTGACCTGAGACCCCACACCCCAGTGTCCCGAGGACAGGGTGACCTGAGACCCCACACTCCAGTGTCCCAAGGAGGACAGGGTGACCCAAGACCCCCACACCCCAGTGTCCCGAGGACAGAGTGACCTGAGACCCCACACCCCAGTGTCCTGAAGGACAGAGTGACCTGAGACCCTACACCCCAGTGTCCCTGGAGTGGTGTGACCTGAGACCCCCACACCCCAGTGTCCCGAGG